TTCTTTTAGATGTGAACAAAGTAGAGTGATCTTAAGTGAGTTAAAATAACAATAAACATTGGCTTTATAACATTTTATAGAGTAATTGGACACTAGCATTGTAATAGAGTCATCTAGAGTTACAGTTGATGTAAGAGATAAGTGATATATGTTTGCTTCATTTCCTCCTTCTATTTCTCCCCTTCCCTTCCTCCTCCCTCCTCTTTCTCTCCTTCAGAGTTCACCAGTTGGTTCATCAGACATTGTTAATGAAGACTACAATAGTCATCATGTAGAGACTTCTTTTGAGACACACCTGGTAATGTACACATGTAAAGGTTGTATTCATTGCACAATTGAATTGAAGACACACATCTCACAGACATCTGTACAAAGCTAATTATAACTATATATGATTAGCAATAAGTGGAACTAACTAATGAACAGTCAATCAGTAAATAGTGTTAGTGTCTAATGCTGTTAGGAAGATACAGAGGTAGATAACAAGAGACAAATAATGAAACTGAATGATAAACTTTGTATATCTTCATGTACTTAATGTTTACAAAAACATTGGACGCGCCTTTGTGTCCAGTGCAGTATCTAATATTGCCTAATGAACATAATGAACTAATAATGTCCTACATGTATAGCTAGTGATAGCTAGGACCAGTAGGTACATATATTCTATTGTGTTATTGTAAATTTCAACTTGTGTTGTGCTAAGTGTTCAATTGTGTTCCTCTCACATTGGCAACTTGTTTATTGAATGTCAATGCCTTGTTATCATTTTATCCTAATTCCCAAGAGCATCGCAAAATTATGTACCATATATATTTATATTATTAAGTATAAAACCAGAATATGGTGCTATTATTTGTTCGACGCTGTAGAATTTTAGCAATGATGGGCAAATTCAATAATTATTTATGGCATTGAGACAGACAACTATGTTAATGGTTGGAGCATTTAGAATTAAAAACAATGGCCTTTTACTGTCATTAATGTATGTAGACAAGTAATGCAGTTATGTTATTGTTGATATTGTTGATGTTATTGTTATTTTAGATATTTATGCACTGACACAGTTGAAAGGCTAACTGTCAATATAATTACATCAAATCATCAAAAATACTCTTGATTACATATACATATGTTTCTTCCTTATTTCTTCCTTGCATTTCTATCTCCTTCCCTCTCTTTTCCTCTCTCTTCTCTCTTCTCTCTTCTCTCATAGCCAGGTAATCCTGATCCTACTTATCAAGAGCCAGTAAAAGCCCTTTCTCAAGTAAAAGCAGTCCCACCATCAGCAACAAAACCTCAAGTACGTGCATGATATCATGCAGGGGCGGATCCAGGATTTTGCAAATGGAGGGGTTGAGAGAAAGAATGGCGAAATTTTGGCCACGCCCCCTTTTCGGCGCTATTTTGTGGTTAAAATCACGTGAAAATCAACTTTTCTACCATTTTTGGAGCTCATTCTTTGTTAATTATATTCATTAACCACAGTAATGTTGCTATATAAACTAAGTGGTTAGCACTTTCACCACTGTTGCAACAATAAAAACATTAAAAATTTTTTGAGTTAGAATGTTTTGGGGGGGTTGCAACCCCACAAACCCCCCCCTAGATCCGCCCCTGTCATGTGACATCATCATGATCCAGTGATCATTACCTGATAGTCACATGATCTCTCTCATTAGGAATATTCAACTCCTGTTAATACTCCTTCAACGTTTGCTCCTCAGTTAAGTGAGACAAAGCCAGCGATTGATACTGAACTGATTCAAGACACACCTGGATACACTGAAGTACCTGCTCACATGAAGAAGGTAATTTAAGCAAGCTCCACCCATTAACCACACCCATTTTTAGAGTACCGGTAGCAAAAAAAAGCAAGAAACAAAAAATCAAAATGTAACTGATGTAGATATTGTAATTTAGATTATTATAATTATTATGAATTTTCAATTCTCTGTCCCTCTTTGCAGGATCCATTACCTCTTGCTCCCAATGATGAAACTGAAGTACGTAATCATGATTGTTGTTGTTCTTGTTGTTATCATTGTTATTGTTATTATTTTCATTATTATTATTATTGGTTATTTTTGATAGGCAACACCTGATTCCAAGTTAGCGACACACCAGTATGCCGATTTAGATGAAATAAGATCAAGGAAGGTACTACTAAACACACACATACCTAAACCAATCATGTACAACAATGAAAACATTATGCTTTCATGTTACACACACACACACCTACACACGCCCAAAACCAGGATTTATTTTATACCAATCATGCACATGTAATTGTATAAAAATAACAATATGATGCTTTCATGTTTGTTATTATTCTTTATAATTATATTTTTATTTGTACCTACAGGGACGTCCTCCTCCACCCACAGTCATTAATGATGTTAATTATTCAGAAGTAATCACATCTTAGTTAATAGCAGTCAGATCATTGCGTACATATATATTTAGTGTTCATCAGTTCATTATATTGATTTTTATTCCTATATCAGTGTGACATACGTCCAGCTTTACTTATTTTATTTAATCATTTGTTTTTATTAATAATTATCAATGACTTTAAAAATAATGATAGGAATGAAGTTAATAGCAGTCAGTTCATTACGTATGTAGTGTTGTGTTCACCAGTTATATTTACTTACCATCATTATCATTATTATATTATTTATTACCATTTTATCAAAATATGTATGTCACTGTATTATCATTATTATTATCATTTATTATTACCTGCACATTACTCTGATTTCTTTATTCCAGGTAATTTATTTGATTTTTAATTTTTATTAATTTTTATTTCCTCTGTCTGTGTGACATCTCCAGCAGTTTCACTTATTTCATTTAATCATGTGTTTTTAATCACAAAAAATGATAGGAGTATGACAGTTAAAAACAGCGACAACCAATTTGTATCACAAAATGTTATTCAGACATGAATAAAAAATATAAATAATTAACCTGCTGCAGCTGCAATGAAAAAAATTAAAATATATAACACGATGATTATGATGATGATGATACATGTAAAAATAATGCACACAGTTCTTCAGTCTCATCAAGCAATTTTCTTATTTCTTTTCTATAGAAAAATGAAAAACATGCACATATTAATTATATGCTGTAGTACATGAGCCACTTGAAAGAATTCAGAATCAACTTTTACACAACATGTATATGCATCAGAAAAATTATAAAAATGCAAAATTCTCTCCCAGTCATTTTTGACAAAATTTGGCAACGACCTTGTACTATGACAGGGACTTCAGCCTAATTCTGGAGCAACTTTTAAAATTCATAAAAAATCCAAACTTGATCGGAATCGGCTCAAACTTAATATACAACATAAATATATGTATATGTATCAGAAAAAATTATAAAAATAAAGAATTCTCTTCTAGCCATTTTTGATGAAATTTGGCCTACGACCCTGTACTACAGTACAGTGACTTTGGTCTGATTCTGGAGCAACTTTAAAAATTCATTAAAAATCCAAACTTGATTGGAATCGGCTCAAACTTGATATACAACATAAGTACATATATATGTATCAGAAAAAATTATAAAAATGCAGAGTTCTCTCCTAGCCATTTTTGACAAAATTTGGCAATGACCTTGTCTATAACAGCATTAACAGGGACTTTAACCTGATTTTGGAGCAGCTTTAAATATTCATAAAAAATTCAATTTTAATCATGCAGAATCATCTCAAACTTTCTACACAACATAAGTACCCTATGGGAAGTTCCTTGCATTATACATGCAAGGAACGACTAGTAACATGCAAGGATAGCAAACCCATGCACTTTCCATGCATGGTACAAGCATGGAAAGTGCATGTTTTATGCTTGTAGTGGTATTACATGCATGTACCATGCATGTACCATGCATGCACCCAGTATATGCATGCATGCACCATGCATGCATGCAGTATATGCATGC